AGCAAGGGATATGCATGTGTATATACTAAACTAAGTTTTTCTGTATGCAGTCATCTGTATCTATATTAAGCTAAACATGAGTTGATGTTTCCAGTTCTGTCCATTACCACTCTATCCATTCTAGCCTTCTTCCTTTGGTTATCTGTCACCTCCCACTTTTACAGTGAGAAAACTGGCTTTCACCATTCATGATGTTTACTTAATTGTTCAAATCTGGGATACATATGCAGATATAGAGGCTTCAGAATTAATACATACTCCCATGGAGAAAAACCTTATCAAGTAGAGGACTGTGCTTATGTGTAATTCCTGTTGCCTTTAGTCTTACAGACTTCATTTCCAAAGTTTGTTAGTTAGCACCCCATCCCCCTTTGAGGAGGTTGTTTCACATATTTTCTAGACAATTAAATTCTTTTGTCAAAGTCTGTGTTCCATCCAGAGATCCTCTGATCTCTTAAATGATGTTTTAAATTTACATACATTAAGGTTCACTCTGCTGTAAAGTTCTGTGGGTTTTTATCTGTCTCAGAGTTTTTGCATATGTTGGCCTTCTGCCTGGAATACTCTTCCCAGATATTTCCCCATGACTGGCCCCTTATCTTTCATTCAGATCTCTGCTCAAATATTATCTCCTTGAGAAAACTTTCCTTGAGCACCCAATCTAAAGGAATCTTCTAGAACAAAATGAAAATTTTGTTAGTGTATTTTCTTCAGTATGTGTGGTTTGTTTTGACCAGTCTCCATTTAGTAGGATGAAAATTTAAAGAGGGCAGGGACTGTATCTGTATCCTGGATATATAGTGAATGTATGTTGATATATGAGTGAATAATCCTGTCCCAGGTGTGTCCAGCATCACTTATTTCTAGGGCATAGTTTTAGTACTGATCAGTAGTGATTGAAAGCAGGCTTGTTCAGTTGGGTTTCCAGCTCACCCTGCTTTACTACTTAAAAAGTGTTTTGGTTGCAAGTTAGGTTAAGTGTTTCAGTATATTAAAGATGGCAGTCACTCTGTTCTCTCCTGCAGTGTTTATAACCATTTATTTAAGGTTATTATTATTATTATTGAGACAAGGTCTTTCTATCGCCCAGGTTGGAGTGCAGTGGCGCAGTCTACTACAGTCTTGACCTCCTCAGGCTCAGGTGATCCTGAGTAGGTAATCCTTCTTGAATGGCTGGGACTACAGGAGCACCACCACACCTGGCTAATTTTTTTTGTATTTTTTATAGAAATGGAGTTTCTCTATATTGTCCAGGCTGGTCTTAACTCCTGGGCTGAAGTGATTCACCCACCGTGGCTTCCCACCGTGCTAGGATTGCAGGTGTGAGCCACTGTGCCAGCCTAAAAGTTATTTTAGGGAGGGATTTATAATCTCTACTCCTACTTAGAATTACATATCAATACCGGCCAGGCGTGGTGGCTCACGCCTGTAATCCCAGCATTTTGGGAGGCCGAGACAGGTGGATCACCTGAGGTCAGGAGTTCGAGACCAGCCTGACCAACATGGTGAAACCCCATCTCTACTAAAAATACAAAAACTTGCCAGGCGTGGTGGCAGGCACCTGTAATCCCAGCTCCTCGGGGAGCCAAGGCAGGAGAATTGCTTGAACCCGGGAGGTGGAGGTTGCAGTGAGCTGAGACCCCGCCATCGCACTCCAGCCTGGGGGACAAGAGCGAGACTTCGTCTAAAAAAAAAGAATTACTGTTAATACCACGGATTTCCCAGCTCGGCTGTACATTAGAGTCAGCTGAGGAGCTTTAAGAACAAACACTGCTTCCTGAGTTCTTTCCTGCCTTACTGATTTTCAGGAAAATTCTACAAATTTGTAATGTTTTAACAACCAGCTTGGCATCTAGTCAGAACATTTGAAGTTAAAAAACCCCAACAGCCAGGTATGGTGGCTCACGTCTATAATCCCAACACATTGGGAGGCCAAGGCGGGAGGATCGCTTGAGCCCAGGAGTTCAAGGCCAGCCTGGGCAACATGGTGAAATCCTGTCTCTACCCAAGAAAAACAGAAAAATTAGCCAAGCGTGGTGGCACACACCTGTGGTTCCAGCTACTCAGGAGGCTGAGATGGGAGGATCATTTGAGCCTAAGAGACAGTGGTTGCAAGTGAGCCAAGATCGTGCCACTGCACTCTAGCCTGGGCAGCAGAGCCAGACAGAGCCTGTCTAAAAAAAAAAAAAAAAAAAAAAAAATCCCAAAACAAAATTTAAAAATATAATGTATTAATGTAAAATGAGATTTTCTGATAGTGTCTAGAGGATTTCAGCTTATAGCTATGATGACTGAAGCTTATACAAAAAGACCCTTTTAACTTGGACTGATTCTTCTACAACGATTTAAGCCCATACTGTGTGCTTGGTACTAGTGAATATTACAGTGAATCGTTCCCTGCTCTCAGAGAACTTACATTACCTCTGAGACAGCAATAGAATGAATGTAAATAATCATAAGATAGGAAACAATAGGCACATAAGAGAGAGAGAAAACAATTTTGATATTTAGAGGAGAGAGCAGTCATTTGCACACTGGGAAGATGTTAAGATGAGTCCAATTCCAATTCTTTTTTTTTTTGGAGATGGAGTCTTGCTCTGTTACCCAGGCTGGAGTGTAGTGGCATGATCTTGGCTCACTACAGCCTCTGCCTCCTGGGTTCAAGCAGTTCCCTTGCCGCAGCCTCCTGAGTATCTGGGACTACAGGTATGCAGCACCAATGTGCCCAGCTAATTTTTTTTTTTTTTTTTTAAGTAGAGATGGGGTTTTACCATGTTGGCCAGGCTGGTCTTGAACTCCTGACCTCAAGTGATCCACCCACCTCAGCCTCCCAAAGTGCTGGGATTACAGGCGTGAGCCACCACCCCTGGCCTAGAGTCCAATTCTTAAAGAGAATCCACAGCGAGAAGGAGGAGCCCTGGATATCCCAATCGTTTAGTGGGTTGTAATGTTAGAGCATTGAAAGTTAAGGGGGTCCTATTAGAAGCCAGAAGGGAATAGTCAAATGAGAAGAGTTCTATAATGGTCAGGACCTAAAATCCAGACTCAGAACTGTCAAAGCCAGCAGTTCTTAAAGGAACTTTTCAATTTCAGTATTTTAAACATTAAAATTTTTTTTTTTTTTTTTTTTTTTTTGAGACGGAGTCTAGCTCTGTCACCTAGGCTGGAGTGCAGTGGCCGGATCTCAGCTCACTGCAAGCTCCGCCTCCCAGGTTTATGCCATTCTCCTGCCTCAGCCTCCCGAGTAGCTGGGACTACAGGCACCCGCCACCTCGCCTGGCTAGTTTTTTTTTTTTTTTTTGTATTTTTTTTTTTTTAGTAGAGACAGGGTTTCACCGTGTTAGCCAGGATGGTCTCGATCTCCTGACCTCGTGATCCGCCCGTCTCGGCCTCCCAAAGTGCTGGGATTACAGGCTTGAGCCACCGCGCCTGGCCAACATTAAAATTTTTTATTGCAAGTTTTTGTACTACATGTATAATTATAAAAAATGAAAACTTGTATACCTAAAAATCTAAACTTCGGTTTTTGAATTTTGTTTCATTTTTTTAAGCTCTGGAAAAGAAATGCATTCCACATTAAACCCTTCACATTGCACATAAAGGAAACTAAATTCAGAGTTAAAATGTGCCTGTCCATGGCCATAGGGTACAGAATTAGGCAAGAACTTCAGTTTTCAGACTCATCAGTCCATGCTACTACATTCTTGTCAGGTTGAGATCAGTCTCTTTGCCCTGAAGCCTACTGGGTGTTTAGAGGAGTTTCTTGAGGATAGAGGCTATATCTTATTCATTTTCTATCCCTCCAATATAGTAAGTAAGTGCTGTACAGAATAGGCGTATAGCCCACATTTGTCAAATGAAAGGATGGATGGATAGATGGATGGTTTTGGCTTTTATATTAGACTTTAAAGGAATGCTACAGTTTAGCTCTGTGGAAATTCTGGGCATGAGATGTGTACATACATGAACTGTTAGATTTGCTGAATATTGAATATCTGAAGGGAAATAGTGAGAAAATACTGTAACTGCAGTGGCTTACGCCTATAATCCCAGCACTTTGGGAGGCCAAGGCAGGAGGATTGCTTGAGCCCTGGAGTTGGAGACCAGCCTGAGGAATATAGGGAGAACCTGTCTTTACAAAAACCATCCAAAATTTAGCTGGGTGTGGTGGTGCACACCTGCAGTGCCAGCTACTCAGGAGGCTGAGGTGGGAGGATTGCTTCAGCCTGGGAAATTGAGACTGCAGTGAGCAGTCATGGCGCTATTGCACTCCAAACTGGGTGACAGCAAGACCCTGTCTCGAAAAAACAGTGTGGGGGGATGGGGTATGTTAGGTTTTACACAGTTCATATTATAAACTAGGTTAATACCAGTATATAAAACGAAATAAGTTAATGAAAGGCATGACGTTTTGCAGAAAAGGCGCATTACATCATTATTTAGAGGTTGAGTATTCTTTGTCCAAAGTACTTGGAACCACAAGTGTTTCAGATTTGGATTGTGTTGAGATTTTGGAATATTTATGTTATACTGGTTGAGCATCTCAAATCTGAAATGTTCCACTATGCATTTCCTTTGAGACATGTCAGCACTCAAAATGTTTCAAAAAATGTTGGAGCATTTTAGATTTCAGATTTGGGATGCTCAACCTGTACTATCAACAGAATAGTTGTTTAGCATTAAATAATATTTTGCTTAGCCCACAGGTTGAACAATCTTTAATTTTTCAAACTTGAATTTGAGAGAATATTGATCTTAGTCAGTACTCCTAGTTGAAAGCCTTGAAGTTTTAAAAGGAATTATCATTTTTTTAGTTCTTTATGTGTCTAGAACAGTTAGCTGACTGTATAAATTCCGAATCGGTGAAGTTTTACCATACTTTCACACCCACTTGTAACATTTTTTAGTGTATCTTCCTAGCAGCATTTGGTGTAAAAATACTCATATGTATACTGTTGGTTTTTCTCTAAGTAACTTTTTGTTTTTATCCTTCTTTTCAGGATCTGACTGGCATAGAATCTATGGATCAGTGTCGCCATACCTTGGAACAGCATAACTGGAACATAGAGGTATAATAGGATGCATTCTGAGCTTATTTCTTTTTGTCTGGTCTGATTAAGAATCAAAACCGTATGTTTTTCCATAGCAGGAATCTTTTCAGTAGATTTTTTTCAGAATTATGACTCAAAAATAAAAGTGTGGGAAGGTAAAGAATGTGAGAAAGTTTATAAAATCATAGAAAAATTTGTGACTAAATCCCTCGGTATAGTGCCCTACCCCCTACTGTTTGTTAGTATCTTGTTGGGAAAACAACTGGTTTTTGTATATTTAGTTTTTAACCAGATGTTTTGATGTGAACCTTCTTCTTACATTCTTTGAGATTGTCTGAGTAGTCGTGTTCTCTGCAACTCTTCTCCTTGACCATTGAATTAGCTAGAATTAAAACACTGTCAGTTGATAATGGTAATAGTGTTTTGTCCTCACTATAATGCCTCTGAATTTTTTTTTTTTTTTTTTTTTTTTTTTTTTTTTGAGACAGAGTCTCGCTCTGTCACCCAGGCTAGAGTGCAGTGGCATGCTCTCTGCTCACTGCAACCTCTGCCTCCCAAGTTCAAGCGATTCTCCTACCTCAGCCTCCTGAGTAGCTGGGACTACAGGCGCACACCACTGCACCTGGCTAATTTGTATTTTTAGTAGAGATGGGGTTTCACCATGTTGGCCATGCTGGTCTTGAACTGCTGACCTCAGATGATCTGCCCTGCTCAGCCTTCCAAAGTGCTGGGATTACCCGCGTGTGCCACCGCGCCTGACCATGCCTCTGATTTTTTATTAGCAAGTGTGATGTTAGTTGTTACTTTGAGATAGATCCCCAAGGATGTAAGCTCCCTAAGAACAAAGATTTTTTTGTTTTGTTTTAACTACTGTATTCCTAGCATATAACATGGAAATAAATATCTGTTGATGTTTTCCTTCCATTCTTAGTATATTAATAGTTTATACTGAGTGGATGCTGAATTTTGTCAAACACCTTTTTGATCTCAAATTACTGTTTTAATTATTATCTGCTATTTAAATAGGATGCTGGATTCCTAAAAATGTATTCCTAATATGATTTCATTATTCAACACATTTTTGAGCAATTAAACTCAGGCTCTGACATTATATTAGTGAACAAAAGTAAGTCCTTACTCTTTTTTAATTTTTTTAAGATGGGGTCTTGCTCTGTCACCTGGACTGGAATGCATTGGCACAAGCGTACCTCACTACAGCCTTTGACTTCTGGGCTCAAGCGATTTTCTTGCCCCAGCCTCCCAAATAGCTGGGACTACAAACATGTAACACCATGCCCAGCTAATTTTTAATGTTTTTGTGGAGACGGGGTCTTGCTATGTTGCCCAAGCTGGTCTTGAATTCCTGGGCTCAAGCAATCCTCCTGCCTCAGCTTCCCAAAGTACTGGGATTACAGTTGTGAGCCACCACATCCAGCCAAGTCCCTACTCTTATGGAACTTAATTCTAGAGAATTTCAGTTTGTAATAAATGATGGGAGGGGAACATCACACACAGGGCCTCTCGGGGGGTGGGGGACTGGGGGTCTGGGGGTCTGGGGGAGGGATAGCATTAGGAGAAATACCTAATGTAGATGACGGGTTGATGGGTGCAGCAAACCACCATGGCATGTGTATACCTATGTAACAAACCTGCACATTCTGCACATGTATCCCAGAACTTAAAGTATAATTTAAAAAAAATAAATGAATGCAAATGAGATGAGCATAGGAAATGGAACAGAGGATCTGGAGAGTTTTGCTTTTTGTTTTTTTGTCTTTATTTCTTTTTATTTTTTTTGAGATGGAGTTTCGTTCTTGTTGCCCAGGCGGAGTGCAATGGTGTGATCTTGGCTCATTGCAACCTCTGCCTCCTGGGTTCAAGCAACTCTCCTGCCTCAGTCTCCCGAGTAGCTGGGATTACAGGCGTGCGCCACCACGCCCGGCTAATATTTTGTATTTTCAGTAGAGATGAGGTTTCACCATGCTGGCCAGGCTAGTCTTGATCTCCTGACCTTCCGATCCACTCACCTTGGCCTCCCAAAGTGCTGGGATTACAGGCATGAGCCACCGCACCTGGCCTTGTTTTTTTATTTTTAAGAGACAGGTTTGGGCCGGGCGTGGTGGTTCACACCTATAATCCCAACACTTTGGGAGGCTGAGGCGGGCAGATCATGAGGTCAGGAGATCGCGACCATCCTGGCTAACATGGTGAAACCTTGTCTCTACTAAAAATACAAAAAATTAGCCGGGCGTGGTGGCGGGTGCCTGTAGTCCCAGCTACTCAGGAGGCTGAGGCAGGAGAATGGCGTGAACCTGGGAGGCAGAGCTTGCGGTGAGCCGAGATCGCACCACTGCACTCCAGCCTGAGCGACAGGGCGAGACTCCGTCTCAAAAGGAAAAAAAAAAGAGAGAAAGAGAGACAAGGTCTTATTCTGTCACCCAAGCTGGAGTGCAGGTTTGATCATAGCTCACTGCAGTTGAACTCCTGGGCTCGAGCATTCCTCTGACCTCAGCTTCAAGGAGATGGAACTACAGGCCCACACTACCACACCGGGCCCTAGTGTTCAAGTTTTTGTGTGAATATGTGTTTTTTTTTTTTTTTTTTTTTTTTTTTTTTTTTTGAGACGGAGTCTGGCTCTGTTGCCCAGGCTGGAGTGCAGTGGCCGGATCTCAGCTCACTGCAAGCCCCGCCTCCCGGGTTCACGCCATTCTCCTGCCTCAGCCTCCCGAGTAGCTGGGAGTACAGGCGCCCGCCACCTCGCCCGGCTAATTTTTTTTGTATTTTAGTAGAGACGGGGTTTCACCGTGTTAGCCAGGATGGTCTCGATCTCCTGAACTCGTGATCCGCCCGTCTCAGCCTCCCAAAGTGCTGGGATTACAGGCTTGAGCCACCGCGCCCAGCCCTATGAATATGTGTTTTCATTTCTCTTGGGTCTATACCTAGGAATGGACTTCTCTGAGTCATATGGTAACACTATGTTTAACTTTTTGAAGAGCTCCCAGACTGTTTTCAAAGTGATTATACCATTTTAAATTCCCAACAGCATTGTATGAAGGTCTCAATTTCTCCACACCCTCACCAACACTTGTTAATATTTGTCTTTTAGATCACACTCACCCTAGTGAGTGTGAAGTACTCTCTCTATGTGGTTTTGATTTGCATTTCCCTAGTGGCTAAAATTATGTTGAATATTTTTTCATATTCTTGTTGAACATTTGTGTATCTTCTTTGCAAAAATGTCTATTCAGGTCCTTTGCCAGTTTTTAAATTTGATTATCTTTTTCATATTGAGCTGTGAAAGTTTTTGTTTTTGTTTTTGTTTTTTTGAGATGAAGTTTCACTCTGTGGCACAGGCTAGAGTGCAGTGGCATGATCACGACTCACTGCAGCCTCCACCTCCCAGGTTCAAACAGTTTTCCTTCCTCAGCCTCCTGAGTGGCTGGGACTACAAGTGCCCCATGCCCGGCTAATTTTTGTATTTTTACTAGAGGCGAGGTTTCTCCATGTTGGCCAGGCTGATCTTGAACTCCTGGCCTCAAGTGATCCACCCGCCTCTGCCTCCCAAATTGCTGGAATTACAGGTGTAAGCCAGCATGTCTGGCCAGTTTGTGTTTTTTGAGACAGGATTTCTCTCTGTTGCCCAGGCTGGAGTACAGTGGTACTGTTATGGCTAACTGCAGCCTTGACCTGCCGGACTCAAGTGATCCTTTCACTTCAGCCTCCTGAGTAGCTAGGACTACAAGCACACACCACCACGCCCAACTAATACTTTATTTTTTTATTTTTTGTACAGATGGAGTCTCGCTGTATTGACCAGGCTTGTCTTAAACTCCTGGGCTCCAGTGATTCTCCCACCTTGTCTTTCCAAAGTGCTGTGATTACAGACATGAGCCACCATGCCTGGCGCTTATCTGATATTTGATTTGCAAATGTTTTCTCCCATTCTGTGAGTTATCTTTTTACTCTCTTGATAGTGGTTTGTGGTTTTTGTATTTTGGTTTTTTTGAGAGATGGAGTCTTGGTTTGTTGCCCAGGCTAGAGTGCAGTGGCATGACCATAGCTCACTGTAACCTTGAACTCCTGGGCTCAGGAAGCCCTCCTCCCTTACCCTCCCTGATAGCTGGGACTACAGGTGCATGCCATCTTGCCCCATTCATGATAGTGTAATTTGATGCAGAAAAGTTTTTCTTTTTGATGAAGTCCAATTTATCTACTTTTTTCTTTTGTCGCTTGTGCTTTTGTTGTCATATCTAAGATACTTTGCTTAATCTGAGGTTGTGAAGATTTATACCCTTGTTTTAAGAGTTTTATAATTTCAGCTCTTATATTTAGGTTTTTGATGTATTTGATGTATTTGTAGTTACTTTTTATGTATAGTGTGATCTAGGGGTTAATCCACTTTCTTTTGCATGTGGATATCCAATTATCTCAGCATCATTTGTTGAAAGATTATTCTTTCCTCAATGAATTATAAAACTAGGGGCCTACTTGATATTAGCCAAATTTCAAGTTTGAAGCGAGTAATTGAGTTTAGAGGGCACACTGCCCTCCGAAAGACCACTTTCACTTCTGAAACCACCTGCAGTTTCAGATGGTCGCAAAACCATCTTCAGATTTGCTAATTCACTAGAACTCACTGAAAGCTGTTACAGTCATAGTTATAGTTTATTATAGGGAACATATACATTAAAAGCAGCTGACGGAAGAGACAAATAGGGCAGAATTAGCCAGGTGTCATGGCTCATGCCTGAAATCCTAGCACTTTGGGAGGCCGAGGTGGGTGGATCACGAGGTGGGGAGTTTAAGACCATCCTGGCCAGCATGGTGAAACCCCATCTCTACTAAAAATACAAAAAGTAGCTGGGCGTGGCAGTACCTGCCTGTAATCCCAGTTACTCGGGAGGATGAGGTGGGAGAATTGCTTGAACCTGGGAGGCGGAAGTTACAGTGAGCCGAGATTGCACCACTGCACTCCAGCCTGGTGACAGAGCTAGACTCCGTCTCAAAAAAAAAGAGAAAAAGGGGGCAGAGTCTAAAAGGATTTTGGACATGAAGCTTGCATACTAAAAGGATTTTGGACATGAAGCTTGCATACTACGCTCCTGCAGAGTCAGGAGACATTACCTTCTTGGCATAGATGTATGACAATATGCATGAAGTATAGTAGCCCCCTCCTACCCACAGTTTCACATTCTGTGGTTTCAGTTACTCGTAAACAACTGTGGTTTGAAAATTTTAGGTGTAAGATTCCAGAAATAAACAATTCATAAGTTTTAAAATGCATGCTGTTCTGAGAAGCATGATGAAATCTCACTCTGTCCCACTCTACCTTACCCAGAACGTTAATTATCCCTTTGTTCAGTGTCTCCACGCTGTATACAGACCCACGTGTTAGTCAATTAGTAGCTGTTACCAGATCAACTGTTGTGCCATTACAGTGCTTTTGTTCAGGTCTCCCTATTTTACTTAATATTGGCCCCAAAGCACAAGAGTAGTGATACTGGCAACTCAGATATGCCAGAGAGAAGCCAGGAAATGTGTCTTTTAAGTGAAAAGGTTAAAGTTCCTGGCCAGGTGTGGTGGCTTATGCCTGTAATCCCAGCATTTTGGGAAGCCAAGGTGGGTAGATCATGAGGTGAGGCGTTCAACACCAGCCTGGCCAAGATGGTGAAATCCCGTCTCTACTAAAAATACAAAAATTAGCCGGGCATGGTGGCAGGAGCCTGTAATCCCAGCTACTCGGGAGTCTGAGAGGCAGCAGAATCGCTTGAACCCGGGGTGGGGAGTGAGCTGAGATCGTGTCACTGCACTCCAGCCAGCGCAACAGAGTAAGACTCCGTCTCAAGAAAAAAAAAGGGTTAAAGTTCCTGACTTAATAAGGAAATAAAAAAAAAAATGTATGCTGAGGTTGCTAAGATCTAGCTTGTGTTTGTGAAATTGTGAAGAAAAAGAAATTCATGCTAGTTTTGTTGTCACACTTCTGCAAAAATTGCAGCCACAGTGCATGATAAGTGCTTAGTTAAGATGGAAAAGGCATTTTCTGAGTGGAAGACATGAAGAGAAACAGCTTCCGATTGACAGCATTCAAGTTTGGTACTATACATGATTTCAGGAATCTACTAGAGGTCTTGGAATATATCCCTGTGGATAAGGAGGGACTACTGTATTGCCAACCAGGGAAGCTTCAGTGCTTCCAGAGTATTTATTAGGGCATCATTACACAGGCATGATTGATTTGCTTGGCTGCCCACATGGTTGAACTCAATCTTCAAGTCAACTGATACCAAGTTGTCCAAAGTTCCCCACCCTAAACCACATGGTTGGTCTTTCTGGCATGGCCAGCTTTCACCCTAAGACTACTGGGTGTTGCAGCTGCAACCTAAAATCTGGTAACAAAGACATGCTTATCAGGTCTGACATAGATTACCTCCCAAAAGGCAAAGGCCAGATATCTCTTTGGGTAAGGCCAACTTTTTTTTACTACATTGAGATAAATATCTATTTTAAGGACAGAGTTCAGGAGGGAATGAGTGTTTTAAACTGCATATCAGTAGTCTGGCAGGAGTTGTATTAGGATCTTTATGTACGGCCAACTCATTACATTTTTAGATTAACTCTGAGAAATATTGTTCCTTTATTTTGCACATAAGGAAACTGAGGCTCATGTTTTTTTCTTCTTTATTTTTTATTTTTAGAGACAGGGTCTCGCTTCATTGCCCCGGCTGGTCTCGAATTTGTGGTCTCTGGGCTCAAGCAATCCTCTCACCTCAGCCTCCCAAAGTGTTAGGATTACAGGTTTGAGCCACCGCACCTGACCTAAGGCTCATACATTGAGCACCTTTTCTGAGAGATGGAGCTAGGATCAGACCGAAGCTTCTCTGCTGCAAACCCCTTCATCAGATGCCACTCATCAGGACTGCTTCACTGCATAACTCCAGGGTTACCGCCCACATTGTATTCTCTGAGGATGGCTTTTCCTGGGATTGTACAGTGAAGCACTTTATATCCCAGCAACCCTAAATAATACATACCATCTGAATAAAGGCAGTGTGCTTGCTGCATAAATGTAGCTTCCAGACAAGTTTCCTCGTCTCCTCTACTGTGTATGCATTCTGGAGCCATCTCTCCACATTGCCTCCCAGTATAGCCGGTTAAAAGGTCCGTGAAGGTACACTCCTCAAGTGACCTTTTGGTGTATTACTGGCCATCCTATTTTGCAATACCACGCAATAGTTGCCTCACCTCTTTTTCTGGGTTGATTTGAGCATCACTGAAACTCTTGCTACTCTGTTTTCCTTCTCAGGCTGCTGTACAGGACAGATTGAATGAACAAGAGGGTGTACCTAGTGTTTTCAACCCGCCTCCATCACGACCCCTGCAGGTTAATACAGCTGACCACAGGATCTACAGCTATGTTGTCTCAAGACCTCAACCAAGGGCAAGTTATTTCATAGCTGGAATTTCCCCCATTTTTATTTTTAAGTATATTCACTTGGTTATATTGATCTCCCTGTGACAGGAGCAAAATAAATATTTAGAATGTAAACCTGTTAGTTAGACTTGGCCCCTTGGGTATATAATTTTGCCTTGATTCCTCAAGGAATTGTTATAGAAACTGCTAAGTTTTTTGTTTTCTATTCTTTGCCAGTTATTTGGAGAGTGTTTTCTATCTCTTAAGTTACAATTTGTTTACTCAAGTTCTTTGTTGCTTCAGTTTACTTAATCTTAAACTACTTTTGAGGAAGTACATGGAATCTTTGTAGGAGCTTTGGCCACGTCTTTGAAATTAGCCTTGAAGGGCTAGTAGCAAGGAGGTGGTTCACTTAAATTTGACAGATATTTAAGAGCACTCCAATAGCCTGGTATTTTGCTACTGGGGATCCAGACATGAATAAAGAGCCAATCTTCCCATTTCAAATTCAATTTTTCACAGTCTAGTGAAGGAAGTCAGATGTGTACCTGATAATGAACTCTGAAGAACTTCTTGGACTTTCTTTTTCTTATCCTTGGGGTTATACTCACTTCTTATACTTTTATACTTGCATTTAGAATCCTAAGAGAACATTCCCTTTAACATTGCAACAGTTAGAATTTTCTCCATCATCAAGCCTTTTTGGGGAGTACTTGATTTTTGTTTTGTTTTGTTCTGTTTGAGACAGTGTTTCACTCTGTCACCCAGCCTGGAGTGCAGTGGCACAATCTTGGCTCACTGCAGGCTAGACCTCCTGGGCTCAAGCAGTCCTCCACCTCAGCCTCCTAAGTAACTGGGACTACAGGTGTGCGCCACCATCCTGGTTAATTTTTGTATTTTTTGTAGAGATGGGGTCTTGCTATGTTGCCTAGGCTGGTCTTGAACTCCTGAGCTCAAGTTATCTGCCCACCTCAGCCTCCCAAAGTGCTGAAATTACAGGCTTGAGCCACTGCACTTGGCCTACTTGATGTTTTAAAACATGTTTCTAAGTAGTGCTTTGTGGTTTTCTGAAGTACAGTAGCAGATTCCCATGTCAGCCGTGGGGCTCCAGAGCTTCCTGTCCGCAGACACAGAAAGTGTCTCAGGTTAACACAATGTGACATCCGTGAAATGCTTTATAAACTATAGAGCCCTGGATGTATGCTAGTTTTAATAATTAATAACAGCAATAATAATTAGCATTATTACTAAGATAAGCAGCTATATGGGGATTTGTCATTGTGGTTAATATAATTATTTAACATTTATATACCAATGTCCAAGGTTAGTAATAGTGATTATCTTTCTTCCTATTTCTATATACATTATTTTAGGTTTTTATGTTTGTGTGTTTTGTTTTGGGACAGAATCTCCTTCTGTTGCCCAGGCTGGAGTGCAGTGGCGTGATCTCAGCTCACTGCAACCTCTGCCTCCCAGGTTCAAGCGATTCTCCTGCCTTAGCCTCCCGAGTAGCTGGGATTACAGGCGCCCACCACCACGCCTGTCTAATTTTTGTATTTTTAGTAGAGATGGGGTTTCACCATGTTGGCCAGGCTGGTCCCAAACTCCTGACTTCAAGTGATCTGCCTGCCTTGGCCTCCCAAAGTGCTGGGATTACAGGTGTGAGCCACTATGCCCAGCTAATTTTTGTATTTTTAGTAGAGACAGGGTTTCACCATGTTGACCAGGCTGGTCTCGAACTCTTGACCTCAGGTGATCCATCTGCCTCAGCCTCCCAAAGTGTTGGGATTACAGGCGTGAGCCACCGAGCCTGGCCTATTTCTGTATACCATATTTTGATGTATAAATCTAAAAAGGAAAGAATGAGTATGTATCATTTGGGGGACATTAACTTGCAACTGAATTTGACAAGTATATAAGTAGCTGTCAAAAATAAGTATTAAAGCAGTTTTGGTTTTTGTTTGTTTGTTTGTTTGTTTTCGAGACAGAGTCTTGCTCTGCCCCCAGGCTGGAGTTCAGTGGCGCGATCTCAGATCATTGCAACCTCCACATCCTGGGTTCAAGCGATTCTCCTGCCTCAGCCTCCCCAAGTAGCTGGGACTACAGGTGCATGCCACCATGCCTGGCTAATTTTTGTATTTTTAGTAGAGATGGAGTTTCATCATGTTGGCCAGGCTGATCTCAAACTCCTGACCTCAGGTGATCCGCCCCCCTCAGCCTCCCAAAGTGCTGGGATTATAGGCAGGAGACACAGCTCTGGACCTTAAAGCAGATTTAATACAAAAATTATGCAAAAAAGAAAATGATAGTAAGATGAAATAAGACCAAGGATGGTGGCACTTAGGAAGGATGAGGTGGCCAGGAAGAAGGAACTGTATTTTAGAGGAACAAATCACATGGAAGGACAAAAAAGAGTCAGAAAATCTGACCTAGCCATTTGATAAAATATTGGAGATTGAGAGAATTGTGTCTAACTTTGTTTTTGGACTTTCAGGGGCTGCTTGGATGGGGTTATTACTTGATAATGCTTCCATTCCGGTTTACCTATTACACGATACTTGATATATTTAGGTATGTACCTTTGGATTTATGTGTTAGTAGAATAGTAAGACTTCAGAGCTCAAATTTAGGCCAAAATAAGTTTTATGCTCTATCAATGTTGACTTGCCAATTTGTCATGAGATTGAATACTCTTCCCGAACTGTCTTTTAATACAGTATAAAAGTATTTTAAATTGTTGAAGCATTGGCAGGCATTGTGAAATGAAATTGTTTTTACATCAGTCTTACCTATTGTTTGCAAAAACCAGTCTGGCTATATTGTCTCCCCCTCCCCCAACCATATTTGTCACCTCTACACTTCGTAGTTGATGTCCACACCCTTTCCTTTCTAACCACTGTCATCTCCTAGCTTCAGACTCCTTAGAACTTTTTTCCTAAACTACTTCTCCACCTGACTACTCACAATCCCAACAAATTCTCTTGCTCTGAGATTACCCAGTTTGTCCTTGATTCCTCCCACAATAGTTGGACCTCTCTAGACACTCCCGTTGTACCTTTACTTTCTTTCTTTTTTTTTTTCTCTTTTTTTGAAACAGAGTCTTGCTCTGTTGCCGTCGCCCAGGCTGGAGTGCAGTGCCACCATCTCGACTTACTGCAACCTTCACCTCCTGGGTTCAGGCGATTCTCATACCTCAGCCTCCCAAGTAGCTGGGATTACAGGCATGCGCCACCACGCCCGGCTAATTTTTGTATTTTTACTAGAGACAGTAGAGATGGAGTCTCATTTTGTTGGCCAGGCTGATCTTGAGCTCCTGGCCTCAAGTGAGCCACCACGCCTAGTACCTTCTGTACCTTTTCACTTTGCTCCAGCAACCCCTAGGTTGCAAACACTGGACCCTTTTATGTATATACCCACTTGCTTCATACCTTCACCTTTCTTCTAGCTTCCTTCATGTACCATTAAGAGAGCTCATCATTGGAAGCTACAGAGGGTCCAGGGCCAGAAAATGAGTGGGGCATAACTTCCTAGCACGTCACACTTGGGTTATCTGGCCCAGAGCCAGATATGGGGAACTAAAATGTTCATGGGCATCCAGGCGAGCAGATGGAGCTGGGATATGTAGTCTGGGCCTTGTGTATACGGGGAACCTGTACCTCCCTTCAAATATGGGACAGCCTTTACCCTGCTGTAGGGCACAGAGTCTGAAGGTGTGGGTCCAGCAGCTGCATAAGTACAAGGGTCAGATAGTACCTTTTATATTGGCCCCTTGGTGTTTTATGAGGCTATCGGCTTAATGACTTTCTTGCTTTAGCAACGTTCTTCATGGTCATCAATTAATTGCTTAGTACTCTTTCCATCCCCGTTTTATTTAAGAATGAACAGGTAGAAACCTTTAAAATCATAATGAAAACTAAGTTGACATCTCTGTTTTTTTCTAAAAAATAAAAAAAGCTGATTGTCCTACATTGTGTAGATTGTAGGAATATTGTATAATGAGGAAAAAAAAATAAAGCCTTTAAGAGATAATTCTAAAATGCTTAATTTCAAAGAAAGTAGTTAAAACATCAGTCTACTAAAGAATTTCTAACCATTCCCCCACATATACAACTTACTACATTTTGTGCTTTTAATTCGCTCTGGAATGTTTGTGTTGATGAATTTGGTTTGATTACTCGGGAGAAATTCCAAGTAGAATTGTATACACGGGGAATTTGTTGGGATAATGACTTTGTTCACTTTTTGTTAAGGAAAGTATTATAGTTTAGTCACCTTGTCTGTGCTGAAAATTTTCCAAGTAAATGAATATTGTTTGCTTTCCCAGGGAAAATATGCATGGCATGTATTACTAATTTTAATGCAGCTGTATCATCCAACCGGCTTGTTTAATGTTAGGTAACACATTAGCCTCTGTCCCATTGCCTTCTCTGGAAACCCAAAGGATAAATAAATGGTACTATGCAAATAGGGTAGGCCCTTTGGAAACAGATGTGTGATACCATTAGGTATGTATTCTTCACTTTACAAGAGCTGCCAGTACTCCACATCTGCCAGGGTACTGTGGAGCAGTTTTATAACTTCCTCCGTGGATACCATCAACAATAAATCATCAAGCAAAATGTACTTGCCCCTTTGAAGAGCAAGTAAATCATAACCGCAACTTTAGATTTGAAGTTCCTATCCGTAATTTGAATAGTTTGGGGTTGTGAACTCAATATTCAAAATCCCAGGAAAACAAAGGAGAAGGAGGAGCAAGTAGGACAACCAGAAAGTGACCTCTGTTCTAAAGCACTGTCCAGTAGAAGTCTCTGTGATGATAGAAGTGTTCTGTATCTCCGCTGTTCAATATGAAAACCATTAAACATGTGGCTGTTGAGCACTTGAAATGTGGCTAGCATTACTAAGGAACTGAATTTTAATTGTATGTAATAGATTTAAATTCAGAATAGCCACATTCGACTAGTGGCTACAGTATTTAGATGGTGCCATTCTAGAGAGTCTGGATGCATAGCCTGACACGTGATCTTTTTGGATACTGTGTCTTCCCTTCCAAATCCTTCTAGCCCTAAATTGTTCCACAAAAAACACTCAGAATTTATGTAGGCCAGTGTTGGAATTTATAATCCCAGTAGTTTGCATTCTTCCTGAACAAGCAATAGAATAACACTTGCTGCTTTATGGCTTTTGAACCAGACTCTACTCTCGGATTTGATGGTCCACTCACAGACCATTCACCTCCCTTTGTTGCGATGCCTCTGGCTCTGTTACAGGAATCTGTACAAATTGGCCCACTCCATATGCACTATAGTAAGCTGGATTCATGTGATATTTATTCCTTCTTCCCCAGGTTTGCTCTTCGTTTTATACGGCCTGACCCTCGCAGCCGGGTCACTGACCCCGTTGGGGACATTGTTTCATTTATGCACTCTTTTGAAGAGAAATATGGGAGGGCACACCCTGTCTTCTACCAGGGAACGTACAGCCAGGTCAGTGCCGCAAACCATGTAGATGCCAACTTACTGAGATGATTCTACCCTCAAAGGAAAGCATAGCCCAGTACTGATCATGTCCTTCTTTTACTTGAAAACCTTAATTAGCTCTTCAGTGCTTACAGGGGGTAATAAAAAAAGACCAAACCCTGTAGCTGGCCCCTCTTTGATCTAATGCTGCCCTTCTTTTGAGGTCTTTTCTGCATAACTTACTTTACCATACCCTCAGTTCCAGCTGGCTCATTCCCTGAACATAGTCCATACTTGCCTACCTCTGTGCCTTTGCTTTTGCTGGTCCCTCCATATGGAATGCCTTCCTCACATTTTTGCTAATTGGAATCTTACCAGTCCTTCAACTAGCTCATGTCACTCCCCACTTATAACTATCCCTGATTGTTGTGCCCTGTCCTCCCCTGTCTCACAATCTAGAATACTAATCTTTCCCTTTGTTCTTCCATAGCTTTTAAAACTTGATAGCAATTTTATATTCTTTCCTATATTATTTGTGTTCATGTCTAATCTCTGCTACCAGACTGTAAGCCCCTTGAAGGCAAAGCCTAAATCTTCTTTATCTCTCACAGAATTGAACAAGAACGTAGACCATAGACTCAGGGTAGCACATCTCATTCAACCTCAGCTATGTAGACCTTTGACTCAAGACCTGACCATTCAGGGAAGGAAAAATTAGAGTTCTGTGGGTGTTAGGTATGTCCCTAGTTTGCCAGAGAAATACATAGAATTAACACTGTGGGAATAGGAAAAACTATGGGAATGCCGTGGGAATAGGCACAAGGGGGTTCTATTATGCAGCCTCCAGAATTCCTGAATCTATCTGGAGAAAGAGAAAAATGCTCACCCTTGCTTCCTGCTTTGATTTTCCCATATCTGCTTTTTATCATAGTCAGTCTCCTCGGTGGCTGTTCCCACCCCACTCAACAAACACTGAGCACCTACTGTATGCCAGGCAGTGTCCTCAGTGCTAAAGATACAGAGATGAGTGAGATGAGCACCTCCCGTGTACCCTCTCTGCTATGATCCTGAGGGTAGACCACCCTTGGCCATGTCAGCAGTTGTACCGTATAGTGTACTCAGGAGCACGCACACGCAGAAGCACGCACAGGAGTCTTGGATGAAAGTCTTTGAAAGTCTTTTACACCCTGTGCTCTTTAGAATGCCTTTGGATCGTACAGTCCATCATTCCTACTCCATATGGCCTAGGATCAGGGTTGTCTTCACGGTTATTTTTTACTTACAAGGATGTTGTAGCTGTGAAGTAGAAAAATTCTCACCTCCCTTTCATATGGTCAGATTCTCCTGTTTTTAATCTTCCTTAGACTGTGGGTGCAGCTGACTTTTCTGTGATTTGTTGGGAACCTGTATTTGTAAGCCTGTCTACTCTCATGTGTCTGTTACAGTTTGAATCCTAACAACACTAAAACCTTTTCATTAAAGCTTGTTAGCATGGAGTTTCTATAGGGAGAGCAATGCCAGGGGTGTGAAGGTAGGAGCTCAGGAATTTTCTGATTTCTCGCTCACCTTTTTTCCTTATTTTTTCCTTTTGTTCTTAAATACATAACTGTATCCATTAGGACCCTTAGCCTAAATATAAGCTCAAGGCACAGTCTTCGTAATAATGAGTGATCTTGTTTCTCACAGGCACTTAACGATGCCAAACGGGAGCTTCGCTTTCTTTTGGTTTATCTTCATGGAGATGATCACCAGGACTCTGATGAGTTTTGTCGGTAAGTGGATTGATTATTTTCCTTCTCTTTTCTGACTCTTTCTGGTGACAGTTCGTAGTCAGCAAGTTGTTCTCATGTCCTTTTCGTACCTTTCCACAGCAACACACTCTGTGCACCTGAAGTTATTTCACTAATAAACACAAGGATGCTCTTCTGGGCATGCTCTACAAACAAACCTGAGGGATACAGGGGTAAGTTATGTTTCTTCTGCCTCATTCAGGTTGTTGGAGAATCTTTGGAATAGTCTGGAAAGACATGCCGTGCCATTTATTACAAGAGTGTTCGTTCTGTGGTAGGATACGATGCTAGTTACTGTTTTATATTGTCTCATTTAATCCTCTCAGCAGTCCTGAGAGATAGGGGGTCATATTACCTTCACTTTATGGTTTAGGAAACAGGCTCAGAGAGTTTAAGCCACTGGCTGAAGATCACACAATTAGCAAGTTTTATTTTTTTGTTTTTTATTTAATTAAAAAAATTTTTTTTTGAGATGGAGTCTTGCTCTGTCACCCAGGCTGGAGTGCAGTGGCGCAGTCTTGGCTCACTGCAGCCTCCACCTCCTGGGTTCAAGCGATGGTCCTGCCTCAGCCTCCTGAGTAGCTGGAACTACTGGTGTGCGCCACCACACCTAGTTAATTTTTTTGTATTTTTAGTAGAGACAGGGTTTCACCATGTGGCTTCAGACTCCTGGACTCAAGTGATCAGCCCACCTCAGCCTCCCAAAGTGCTGGGATTACAGGTGTGAGCCACTGTGCCCCGCCATAATTAGCAAGTTGTAGCATATGATTGGGTCTGCCAGATTCTAAAGCCCATTCTTCACATTCAGCATTGCCAAAGCCTGCCACATTCATAGAAATATCCAGTCTTGGCTAGCAGCTTGCCTTTAATCTTAATGGGCTTTTTACTGAAGAGTTTATTCTTTTCATCAACAATTTTAACAGAGCCCTTGCATAGTGAGTCAGTTGTTTGAGTACCTTGAGTACTAATATGGATTTGGAAAGTTCAGATCTTTAGAGATAAGTATTTTTAGGCGTTTAGTAAAAGATATGAAGGCATCCAGTGAGGAAGAATGTAGTCATTTTTGCGGCTACTTGTATCCAGCAACCTTTGAGTTTATATTAGCATGCCACATACTGTGCCATGACTTTAGAACCAAAGATGCGGCAGATGTTGTCCCTGCATCCCGGAATCTGAATCTTCAGCCTATTTGTTTTTAAACATCCAAATTCCTGCATGCATTTTGCCATTCTAATACAGCTTTGACGGGGGCGGAAGGGAGGTTGTGAGTAGAAGGAAGGTAAGGACTTTTTTTAATAGAAGTTTATAAAATCTCTTATTTCACACCATAAGGAAAACATAGATAAAACTCTGTTATGGTAAAAAGTTTAGTCATTTGGAAACCAATTTTCTTTTTGTTTTTTTTGTTTTTTTTTTGAGACCAAGTCTTACTCTGTCACCCAGGTTGGAGTGCAGTGGTGCGATCTTGGTTCACTGCAGCCTCCACCTCCCGGGTTCAAGTCATTCTCCTGCCTTAGCCTCCCAAGTAGCTGGAATTACAGGGACGTACCACCATGCCCTACTAATTTTTGTATTTTTTGTAGAGATGGGGTTTCATCATGTTGGCCAGGCTGGTCTCGAATCCCTGACCTCAAATGACCCAACCACCTCGGCCTCCCAAAACTGCTGGGATTAAAGGTGTGAGCTACCAGCCCAGCCTCAACTTTCTATTAATAAACTTCTTTGGAACAGAAAAACTAACCTTTTTACGGGTAGAGAAAAGATACATGGGGAGAAAGGGTAAGGAAAGGATTAGGCAAGAGAAAAAAGACGATGGTGGAGATTATCATCAGTATCATCAAGCTGAGACTTGCAGCCTTGTGCCCTTTTAGGTTTGAGCCCTTGTACAGGGAAAAACTGCCAGATTCTTTATAGATCCTTTTCCTACCATCAAGTAGACATTATCCTTGAACTCTGCAGCCTTCCCTGGCATCATCACAACAACCACACCGCCACCAGGAAAGCCTGTCTTATTCTAGTCAAGCACCTAGGGATAGGCATGCAAATTGATAACAAAAACAAAAGATTACAAAACTGGGAGGAACTAGGCATGGTGGCACACGCCTGTACTCCCAGCTACTCAGGAGGCTGAGGTGGTCAGGTCACTTGAGCCCAGGAGTTGGAGACCAGCCTGAACAACATAGTGAGACCCTGGCTCAAAAAAAGAAAAGAAAGAAAGAAACTAGGAAGTGGGGAAAGGCAGAGACCAAATGATACCTCCCGTCTTCCTCAACCAGGATTAAAATAGTTCTCTCTCACTCATTGTGAAAAGTCTAAGGTTGATCTTTTTCACCGTCAAGTCCTGCCCTTGATCTGTTGGGTCTTTTTGTCAGTCTCACAGGCTTTACGAGAGAACACCTATCCATTCCTGGCCATGATTATGCTGAAGGATCGAAGGATGACTGTGGTGGGACGGCTAGAAGGCCTCATTCAACCTGATGACCTCATTAACCAACTGACATTTATCATGGATGCTAACCAGACTTACCTGGTGTCAGAACGCCTAGAAAGGTACAAGGGAGTTCCCTTCTGGAACAGAGAGAGACCAGTTGTAAATTTGGAGGGCTGACCTGGGGCTCTACCAATACTGACTTCTTCTGTGCATCAGGCCACTGTTAGCTTTTAGCTTTGCCCATTTATCGTCAAAATATTTACATAGTTTGACCTAAATTACTCTATATCAGGTAATCTGTTCTTAGAGATGTTCAAAATAAAGACAAGGGCTGGGTGCAGTGGCTAACACCTGAAATCCTACCACATTAGGAGGCTGAGGCAGGAGGATTACTTGAACCCAGACTGGGCAGCAAAGTAAGACCCCATCTCTACAAAAAATAAGAAAAAATTAGCCAGGCATGGTGGTACATGCCTGTAGTCCCAGCTACTTGGGAGCCTGCGGTGGGAGGATTGCTTGAGGCCAGGAGTTGGAGGCGGCAGTGATCTCTGATTGTGCCTCTGCACTCCAGCCTGGATGACAGAGCAGGACGCTGTCTTTAAAAAACAAATGAATGAATAAACAAAATAAAGACAGGCCTCTATGCTCAAGAATGTACATTGTGGTATTTAGAATAGCCGAATACAATATAAAGAACTTTGATGTAAAAAAAAAAAAGTGGAATGGCTATAATTCCTCTCCATTACATAAGTTATGTACATTAATTATAGGAAATCCTAAAACCACAAAAAAGCACAAGGAAGAAATTTAAAATCACTGATAATCCTGCCACCACTTGAACATTGTTATATATTTTTTTAATTTTACACACAACACACACCCCTCTATATGTACACATTTATTTGTAAAATTGGGACAATACTTTTTTACAACCCTTCTTCATGTAAGAATGTATCACAGCCTTTTCCCTCATCATTAAATATTCTGCCACATTTTAAAAATTACTGCATAACATTCTATTATCTAAATACATCATAATTTAACCAGGCCACTCTTTTTGGATTTTTGGATTACTTTCTGTTTGTTGCTATTATAAATAGCATACATGGAGATAATTTTTGCAATTTGTGATGGTTTCCTTAGATTAAAATTTAAATTCCTGAAAGTACAGTTTCTGGGTGAGACAATATAAGTATATGTTTACGACTTTTGATTTGTAATGCCAACTTGCCCTCAAGAAAGTTAAACAAACTTAAATTTATGGAAAGCTTTTAATAACATGGGGACATGCTTGTTACATATTAGAAAAATGCAGAATCAGGCCGGGCATGTTGGCTCATACCTGTAATCCCAGCACTTCGGGAGGCTGAGGTAAGAAGATCACTTGAACTCAGGAGTTTGAGGTCAGCCCGGGCAACAAGGTGAAACCCCATCTCTACAAAAAATACAAAAATTAGCTAGGCGTGGCGGCACACGTCTGTAAGCTGAGGTGGCAGGATTGCTTTAGCCTAGGAGGTTGAGGCTGCAGTGAGTCATGATCGCACCACTGCACTCTAGCCTGGGTGACAGAGCAACACCCTGTCTCCAAAAAAAAGAAAAATGCAAGGTCAAAACCCTATAAATCTAGTGTTATTTTAACTGTGTAAAAAAATGTATAGAAGAGGAAACTTTCTGAGGTAACTGAAATGTTCTTTCTTGATTGAAGTGGTGATTATGTGGTTACATTTATCAAAATTCATTGAATTGTACATTAAGATCTGTGCATTTCATTGCATGTAAATTTTGTCTTAATTTTTAAAGAAAGTATAAAGCAAGAATGTTTTATCTGTTCAACTATTTTGATTGGCTAAATATTTTGGGTAAGACAAAACAGAAATTTGTTGGAGAGAAAATAGGAGCTATGCCAAATGTTATATAGTGTTTTATCTTTGATTAGGGAATCTCTGAATCATTCTGAAAACTCTACATTTTCAGATCTGCTACAATGTGTATATGGATGTATATGTGTGTGTTTTGGTTTTATGAGATCAGTACAAAAATGCAGTAACCCAAAATATGATGTTGATGATCCCTTCATAATAACAGTACTGTGTTACATTTGTTAGAATTAGGGGAAAAATTTTATTGTAAAAGAGGAGAGGACAACTTGCTGTTTTCTTTTCTGCCAAATTAAACTGAGATAAAAGGTGGCTTATTCAGATTCTGCCATGCTTTGCTTTTGGAATCCCTTATGGCAGTGTGAAATAGTCATCTGCTAAGAATATCACCGTTTTTACACACACACACGCACGCACGCGCGCACACACAGAAAATTTCAGTGTAAGAAAACAGAACTTGTGAGAGTGCTGTTTTTCTTCTCTTGCTTTTGATCTGTTCACAGGGAAGAAAGAAACCAGACCCAAGTGCTGAGACAACAGCAGGATGAGGCCTACCTGGCCTCTCTTAGGGCTGACCAGGAGAAAGAAAGAAAGAAACGGGAGGAGCGGGAGCGTAAGCGGCGGAAGGAGGAGGAGGTGCAACAACAAAAGTTGGCAGAGGAGAGACGGCGGCGGGTAATGGACCTGTGGCTTTACTCCCTGTGGTTCCCAAACTGCCGAGACTTTGCCATCTTGGTCTTAAGTGTAAAAGGAATAAATGATAGCCACTTTAAACAGACTAAGAGAAAAACAAAAGGAAAAAGGAAAGAAAAAAATAGAACATGTTGTGATTATGGGTGATTTAAATTTTTCATACCATTTAAATACTCATTCTTTTTTAAATAAAAATTTTTAAAAAGAGACAGGCTTTGCCATGTTGGCCAGCCTGCTCTCGAACTCCTGACCTCACGTGATCTGCCTGTCTTGGCTTTCCAAAGTGCTGGGATTACGGGCATGAGCCACCATGCCTGGCCCTAAATATTCATTATTGATACCAGTATTAGCTGATTTGGCATTTTACTCATTATCTTTTTGTTTTTGTTTTGTTTTGTTGTTGTTGTTTTTGTTCCCTAGCAATGTATTTTTTTTTTTTTTAAAGAGATGGGGTCTCACTGTGTTGCCCAGGTTGGAGTGCAGTGGCTATTCACTAGTGCAGTCATGGCACACTACACCCCGAAACTCCTGGGCTCAAGCAGTCCTGCTGTGGCCTCTCAAGTAGCTGGAACTACAAGCACATACCATGGCACCCTGCTCCCTTTCCCCTTTTTCTCAAATAAATACCTAGACATAATAAATAATACATGAGATATAATTGTACTTTAAATTTAGGTTGTTTTTGACTATTCCCAAGAGGTTTTTCTTAGAATACTTAAACATTAATTTTTCTTCTGACGACTGTATAATAAAGCTACATGGTCATTGTATTTATTTCTTGAGCCATAGCCTCACCTTTGCTTTGTGTCTCTGCAGAATTTACAGGAGGAAAAGGAAAGGAAGTTGGAATGCCTGCCCCCTGAACCTTCCCCTGATGACCCTGAAAGTGTCAAGATCATCTTCAAATTGCCCAATGATTCTCGAGTAGAGAGACGATTCCACTTTTCACAGTCTCTAACGGTAAGGACCACCTAAGTTCTGTGAAGTGTATGTAGCATCTGGGCTATAGATTTGGAGCTTTTACTGACTCTTGAGAGTGTCTGTCTGCTGCTCTGATGAACAGGGAACAGAGAGAGAGATGGGTATGCCATCAGTGGATACCAGGAACAGTACTGCAGAGTGGACTGCTGTAGGCTCCTTCAGTTCTAGCTTCCAACTCAAAGCAATGTTTAAGTTTTTGTTTAATTATGTTTGGGCTCTGCTAAGAAAAACAGGTACCTTACATAAGTCCCTCAAAAGACTTGTGTGTTTGAAGATGGGAGACTCTTCTGTGCTGTCTTCCTGCCTTGGCTTCAGAATCCCACCAGACGCCTGCTCTGTAGAAAAAGCACTGGAATGACATACCTGAATATAAGTGCACTTGCAGTTTGGATGCAGTTGTCTTTCTCTTTCTACTCATTTTCTGAGGCCCCATTTTCTGAGGCTACTTTGTATATATGATAGCCATGTAATAGTGTTTGTCATTTCCACATGGAAGTCATTAAAAACAGAAACTCAGTCTCACAGCATGAGGATCAAATTTTCATTCTTCCAGGGTTACTAAATGTGTTTCCTTGGTCAGTTTACTTAATTTCTAAGCCTCAACTTCTTCATCTGTAAAATGGGTTTAATAATAGGCATGGCATGGCACAGTGCTCATGCCTGTAATCCCAGCACTTTGGGAGGCCAAGGTGAGTAGATCATTTGAGGTCAAGAGTTTGAGACCAGCCTGGCCAACATGGTGAAACCTCGCCTCTACTAAAATTACAAAAATTAGCTGGGCGTGGTGGCACACGCCTGTAGTCCCAGCTACTCAGGAGACTGAGGCAGGAGAATCACTTGAACCCGGGAGGTGGAGGTTGCAGTGAGCCAAGATCGTGCCACTGCACTCCAGCCCGGGCGATAGAGAGAGACCCTGTCAAAAATAATAATAATAATAATAATAGGCATTCCCTAGTAGGATTGTTGTTAGAATTAAATTCTCAACATTGTGCCTGGCTCCTAGTAAGCACTTAAATACTCACTACTATTTTTGGTATTTGTAACCAAAAGAAAATTTGTTTATATTGAGAGTCAGTATGTCACCTTTCCAAATTTATAGCTGTAGTGGATTCTGCAGTTTTCCTGATCATTCAGAATAATCAAGGGTAAACCTCGTAATTAAAAGATGATGCACTGTAGTCAGGTGAGGCTGGGTAGTACATTCATGGCTTCTGTTTGTTTAACTGGACAACATTGGGCAAGTTGCAAAACTTTTACAGGGCCTCAGATATCCCATTAGTGAACTGGAACTATAATCTGCCCTCTGATAAGTTTAAACTGCAGATACGTGTGTCATACACTGAGCTAGATACTCTAGGAATCGTTTAGATGAGTGAGACATGGTTTTGGAATTCATGGAGCTTACTGGCCAGTACAGAATGTAAGTAAGACTCAGAGAACTAATACAGAATTAAAGTTATGAAACATTCTGGTAAGAGAGAAGCAAGTGGCTTCCTTGTTTTATTTCTCTCTCATTTATGCATTTATTTATATTAGGGGAAGTGCTCATGTCTCTAACTTTGTTTGTTTTGAGACACAGTTTCGCCTTGTCACCCTAGCTGGAGCGCAATGGCACTATCCCTGCTCGCTGCAACCTCCGCCTCCTGGGCTCAAGCAATTCTCCTGCCTTAGCCTCCCAAGTAGGCACCTGCCACCATGCCTGGCTAATTTTTTTTTTTTTTTTTTTTTTAGTAGAGATGGGGTTTCACCATGTTGGTCAGGCTGGTCTCAAACTCCTGACCTCAAGTGATCCACCCACCTCGGCCTCCCAAAGTGCTGGGATTACAGGTGTGAGCCACTGCACTCAGCCCCATGTCTCTAACTTTGGATTTTTAAATTGAGATAACATGGATGTGCCTCACACAGTATCCACCATGTAGTAGGTGGTTAATTAGTGTTAATTTTCTTCCCCTGGTGTCCCGTTTCTTAACTATGGGTTTGTATATGTAGTTTAGCTTTCATGTTCACTAGCAATTTTGCTATTGTACACACAAACTACATGGAATTTCTACCCCAAAAATTCTGATAAAACTATATATGAAAAACCTAGGCCAGGTGCCGTAGCTCACGCCTATAATTGCACTCCAGCCTGGGCAACAAGTGTGAAACTCTGGCTCAAAAAAAAAAAAAAAAAAAAAAAGAATGAAAAACTTAACAAAAATTTACTCTCCTGAGAGTTTTGGAGGAAAAATTTGTTAGAACTGTGGAACAGAATAGGCTTACAGCCAGAAGGGAACCAGCCATTCATTCATTTAAAAGTCTTCATTGATCCTTGAAGACTTTTAAATGAGTTCCTCACTAAAAGCTGTTTTTTAAAAAAGAGTATCATGGCCACCTGAGATGAGTCTAAGAGAAATGTTTGCTCATAAATGGGGCTTAGAGATGGAAAAAGGTGTAAAGTAGCAGTGCCCTGATAGTGCCGGCCTGGAATTTAACATTCACAGAGATAATTACATAAAACCTAATAATGCTATAGTGTTTTTTAGTACCCTTAAAGACTTTGTGTCGGCCAGGCGCGGTGGCTCATGCCTGTAATCCCAGCACTTTGGGAGGCCGAGGTGGGTGGATCACCTGAGTTCAGGAGTTTGAGACCAGCCTGGCCAACATGGTGAAACCCCATCTCTACTAAAAATACAAAAATTAGCCAGGCGTGGCGGCACAGGCCTGTAATCCCAGCTATTCAGGAGGCTGACGCTGTAGAGTCGCTTGAACCCAGGAGGCGGAGGTTGCAATGAACAGAGATAGTGCCATTGCACTCCAGCCTGAGTGAACAGAGCAAAATTCTGTCTCAAAAAAAAAAGGCCTTGTATCATCTTCCTGTGAACTTGGTCCTTTGTAAATAATCTCGAGGAGTGACAGATTTGTGGGTAATGCTCAGCTCTGGAAAGTAGTGAAATGCTAAGATAAGAGGGATACGCTGCAGAACAATCGCCAGGTCCCATGAGTGGTCATAAAAGAGGCAACTGACTTTGTTTTAAACAAATGTATAAGAGATCCAAAGCCCAGAACTAATTTTTCTGTCCATTGCAAACCGAAAGGGACCTCTGGTAGTAATATAATCTGTTTCCTGATGGTTATCAACCCTTTGCCATTAGTAAATAAAAAATGCCAGCCGGGTGCGGTGACTCATGCCTGTAATACTAGCACTTTGGGATGCCAAGGCGGTGGATCACTTAAGGCCAGGAGTTCAAGACCAGCCTAGCCAACATGGTGAAACCCCATCTCTATTGAAAATACAAAAATTAGCCGGGCGTGGTGACATGCACCTGTAATCCCAGCTACTCCGGAGGCTGAGACAGGAGAATGGCTTGAACCTGGGAAGCAGAGGTTGCAGTGAGCCGAGATCATGCCACTGTACTCCAGCCTGGATGACAGAGTGAGATTCCATCTCAAAAAAAAAAGAAAAACAAAAGCCAAGTTTGTACCAGGTATTCTCAAGCAGTGATTAAAAAGGAATCAGAAAGTATTTTTTTGACCGGGCATGGTTGTTCACACCTGTAATCTCAGCACTTTGGGAGGCCGAGGTGGGTGGGTCACCTGAGGTCAGGAGTTCGAGACAAGCCTGATGAAACCCTGTCTCTGGCCAGGCTAGGTGGCCCATGCCAGTAGTCCCAGCACTTTGGGAGGCCAAGGTGGGTGGATCACGAGGTCAGGAGTTCGAGACCAGCCTGGCCAACATGGTGAAACCCCATCTCTACGAAAAATACAAAAAAATTAGCCAGGCATGGTGAAACGTGCCTGTAGTCCCAGCTGCTCGGGAGGCTGAGGCAGGAAAATCGCTAGAGCCCGGGAGGCAGAAGTTGCAGTGAGCCGAGATCCTCCCACTGCACTCCAGCCTGGGCAACAAAGCAAGACTCCATCTCAAAAAAAAAAAAAAAAAGTTTTTTTTTTTTTCACTCTTGTATCAAACCCATATTGGTTTCATATCAAGAATACTTGGTGTAAGTCTAATTGATGCATCTTAAGAAAGAGTGAACGTTAGTGGGAATTGCAAAGAGAGAAGGAAACTGAAAATGAGTGGGGCTGATAGACTAAAATATGAGAAGTTTATAAAATCAGGAATGGATTAGATAAGAGGAACATGGATTTACTGCTTAAATTCTGGATTATAGCCCTTTAAAAATCCCTCAGGAGGGCAACATGACAAGACTGTCTCTACAAAAATTTTTAAAAACTAACCAGGCATGGTGTTGCACATGTGTGATCCCACTTACTTGGGAGGCTGAGACAGGGGGATTGCTTGAACCCGAGAGGTCGAGGCTGCAGTGAGTTGTGTTTGTGCCACTGCACTCCAGCCTGGGTGACAGAGCGAGACCTGTCGGGTGGGGGGGAAGTCCCTAAAGAGCTAAGTTTAAGAAATAAAGGGCTGCTTTACACAGAGGGAAATAAAACCCAGAGAATTCATCATTGTGAGAGGTGTATCAAAAAGAAAATAAGAATAGATTCCTCCCAAAAAGGAAAAATAACTTGAATGACACGTTCGTCATCTTTGGGGTTGATCTGAAAGAGGCTGGCAGAATTGTTGTTAGAAGTAGAATGCTAGATGGAGGGGCCACAGAGCAGAGAGAGGGAGAGATGGCAGTGGCCTGTGGGGCATCTCACACACAGTTTAAATTTTAGCATCATGGACTCTCCTGATACTGCCTCCCTTCTCACTGAGGATTTTACCTGTACCTTGTCAGAGCCAGAGCAGGGTAAGGAGGGCATTCCCACAGAGAGGAGATTCATATGAGGTGCAACATGTTTATTTTATTGTATTTTTTTGTCCATAGGTTATTGGGGAACAGGTGGTGTTTTGTTACATGAGGAAGTTATTTAGTGGGATTTGTGAGATTTTGGTGCACCCATCACCCAAGCAGTATACACTATACCCTATTTGTAGTCTTTTATCCCTCACCCCTTCCCACTCTTTCCCCCAAGTCCCCAAAGTCCCTTGTATCATTCTTTTGCCTTTGCATCCTCATAGCTTAGCTCCCACATATCAGTGAGGACATACAATGTTTGGTTTTCCATTTCTAGTTACTTCACTTAGAATAATAGTGTCCACTTTCATCAAGGTCGCTGTGAATGCCGTTAATTCATTCCTTTTTATGACTGAGAAGTATTCCATCGTGTATATATATATACTACAGTTTCTTTATCCACACGTTGATTGATGGGCTTAAAACTGGATCCTTGGCTGGGTGCAGTGGCTCATGCCTGTAATCCCTGCACTTTGGGAGGCCAAGACAGGCAGATCACGAGGTCAGAAGATCGAGACCATCCTGACTAACACGGTGAAACCCCGTCTCTACTAAAAATACAAAAAAATTAGCCGGGCATAGTGGCAGGTGCCTGTAGTCCCAGCTACTCGGGAGGCTGAGGCAGGAGAATGGCGTGAACCTGGGAGGCGGAGCTTGCACTGAGATCGTGCCACTGCACTCCAGCCTGGGCGACAGAAGTGAGACTCCGTCTCAAAAAAAAAAAAAAAAACAAAAAACTGGATCCTTTTGCTATTATGTAAAAGATAATTGGCAAAACTTGAATAGGGTCTGAATGATAATATATTATATTATAGAAATAATGTGTCAGTTACATTTCCTGATTTTGAGAGCCAAGTTGTGGTTATATAGAAGATTGTCCTGTGAGTCTGTGATCACCTCAGAATACTTGAGGCCATGTGTCTTACAGTTGGCACTTCACTCTCAACTGATTTTTTTTTTTTTTTTTTTTTTTTTTTTTTTTTTTGAGACGGAGTCTCGCTCTGCCGCCCAGGCTGGAGTGCAGTGGCCGGATCTCAGCTCACTGCAAGCTCCGCCTCCCGGGTTCACGCCATTCTCCTGCCTCAGCCTCCCGAGTAGCTGGGACTACAGGCGCCCGCCACCGCGCCCGGCTAGTTTTTTGTATTTTTTAGTAGAGACGGGGTTTCACCGTGTTAGCCAGGATGGTCTCGATCTCCTGACCTCGTGATCCGCCCATCTCGGCCTCCCACAGTGCTGGGATTACAGGCTTGAGCCACCGCGCCCGGCCTCTCAACTGATTTAAAGAAAAAAATTCTGTGTCCTATACTTCCAACTTTTCTGTAACTTTGTGATGATTTCTAAGTTAGCATTTTATCAGACACGTCACAGAAGAGACAGATGAATTCAGAGTAGGACTAGTGTTGGGTTTGTGTGATTTCTTTTAAAAGGGCTGCCCCATGCATATGCTGTGGGGAATGAAAAGATCTAGAATTCCAGTGTCATGTGATTCTTTCATATAGAGTCATCCTGGGGAGAGTTGGGGGATATTTGACTTCAGAGTTGTGTGTGTGTGTGTGTGTGTGTGTGTTTCTCTTTTTCTCACCGCCCTTCTTCTATATGACCTCTGCAGGTAATCCACGACTTCTTATTCTCCTTGAAGGAAAGCCCTGAAAAGTTTCAGATTGAAGCCAATTTTCCCAGGCGAGTGCTGCCCTGCATCCCTTCAGAGGAGTGGCCCAATCCCCCTACGCTACAGGAAGCCGGACTCAGCCACACAGAAGTTCTTTTTGTTCAGGACCTAACTGACGAATGACATTTTTTTCTTCCTCTCCCCTCCTACCCCAGTCCCTAAATGAAATAGGGAAAAAAGAAAACGACGACAACAAAGCAGAAAAAAAAAAAAGAGAGAGAGAGAGAGAAATTCATATTATTATTATTATTATAATACAATATTTTTTTTAAAAGACTGCTGCATCCTTAGGAAGGATCAGAAACCATGCTGCCCGCAAGAGTCACAACCTGTGTGTGTGCGCGCAAGGTTAGCAACAAACGTACCCACTCGGCAAGCCCACCCTTCCTATGGCCTCTGTGCACGCACCTTCCAGTGAACAGAGACTCTTCACCTTCAACCCATCCATCGTCCCAGCTGGGAAGGGGACATTCCCACTAGTTCTCATTCATTCTTGCTTTTATGGAAAATAAAAGTGAAAAACCTCCATCAACCAGCTACTTGCAGCATCTCCTGAGGACTTGCTTCTCCTGCCTCTGGGGAAGAGAGGGAAGAGAAAGCAGAGAAGCAGAGATGTTCCTTGAACTGCCCACAATTTTTCAATAACTTTTGTTTCTGTTTTGTAATGACCAAAGGAATGAGGCTGACATAGGTGTATTTTTTTTTCCTTTATTTGATAAAGAGCCAATTCTTTAAACCCATGAGTTTATGCCCTGGGCTCCTTAGCCCACAATAGTGTAATAAAAGTGCCCTGGGCTGGTTTGTGCTTATTTCTGCCATTGTCCCTCTCATGTTCCCAGAGAGGTCATTCTTTTTGGTCCAGCTCTTGCTGTCCTTTCTTACCACCTGTGCACCCCACTTGGAGCAGTAGGAGGAAATCTGGGTCTGTGACCCTGCAAAGGCTGTATATGTAGATACACCTATGTATGTGGTGGAACTCATCTTTACACACAACTGCAGCTTTTCCTTGGAGTCTGTACCAGGTGGTGGTTATGGGGTCCGAACCAAAGGATAGCAGCTCTTCATTCCTCTTCTGACATGTGCATGCTGCTCCTCCCAGCCCTGGGCTTTCCTGAATTGCCAAGCCTGGTGCCTTTCCAAAGGACTAGCAGGGCCTGTGGTGGAGCCAGCAGAACCACAGGAGAGTGCCCTGCCTGTCTCAGTGGAAGTGTATTATTGTTTTAAGGATAGAAAGCACCAGAGGCCTTGAAGGGAGCCAAGACAGAACTCCCAGCCTGTGTAATCTCTTGGAAGGCACATTTTCGTTTCTGATGCAGCCACCTTCTGGAGGCAGCTTTTATCCTTTCTCTCTATTGCTCTGTTGAAGTAATAGGGTTTTTTTTAACCTCTGGATATCTCGTCTGTGGTTCAGTTTATGGTAATGGGTACATGGGTCAGGCCATGTATTAACAGATGCCAGTGCGCTCTGACAAGTATTCCAAAGTGTTCTGTAGCTAGACTGGTGCAGGCTCGTACCACTGCAACCAACTGACGTTACTGCAGTTCCTAGTATGCTGTGAGGACGGGGGTTCAGATCAACATAAAGCATAACTTGCTAGAGTTGTAGTCTCAAGGCTTTCTCTCTTGCTTAACTAAAACCTAAGGACCACTGTTTTTGGTAGCAATTATATGGTTACTATCCACTGCAGTCCTGAGTTGTTGGGGGTAAATCCCATATGACAGAGTAAGGCACCCCACAGAAATTAACCTGGAGAGCCTGAGAAATTGCCAGTGGCCTTGGCGTAGCTGTCTAGAACACCATCTCTCGGAAAATTTAACTCTGTCCCTGGCTACCTGTTGTTCTTCCACTTGGTTTTCTGCTCTCCCAAGGCCAGACGAGTGGGACTCACCATCTGACTATTGTCAATGAAGTGTATCTGGACTGAACAGCAGGATAACCCATGTTCTCTACTTGAGGATAACCTTACGTGCAACTTTCCTGCCGACAACCATGCCGAGGCATTTTCCCACTGAAGTCAGAGCCTTCCTCCCCGTCTGGAATTCACAGGTTTTCCCTGGCAGCACACAGGAGGGTATTAAGAACCTTTGTGAGGCTAGGTACACTATATAGGTATCTTGTCCACACCTCTTCGGGGAAGTTACGATTTTTTTCCGTCATAATTCAGTCTCATCTTACTCTACAGTGTGCACTTTATGCCTCTTGCCTTTTGATAACAGTGAAGGAAGTCAGCTGCCAGAATATTAAGAAGGGTCTCCTTCACGTCAGTACAACTGTTGGGGTGGCCTACCCATTTACTTCAGGTTTCAAGAGGCTTCACCAGAAGCACATGCCCCTGTCTAGTCCCATTTGAAACAGTTCTGCTTTACTGAGACCCTAGACCGGTCTTCTTGCTGACCCTAGTGCTGCTGCCTACATGCCATTTCCTTTCCTCCTAAGTCAAACACAGGCTGCACATTCTGTCACTTAATGCCAGTACAATCTGTGTCACTCCTAAGGGCTTTTGGGATTTTGACGGGACCTGCAAGGGAGAAGACACTGAGAAGCCGATGATCTGCAAGCATTTGCTCTTGTTTCCACATCACCTCTGGGATATTTCAGCTGTTGTTTCCAAATGGCAAGCGATCAACTAAAAGCACTTGTTTCAAGTTTTGTTCTGCACTCCGAAGACTGCAGTTGTAGATTCAGCTGAATAGCCATGGGAAGTGACCAAGCAGACACCCGATTGGAGTCCGTTGAATATTTATACCCTCCGTGGAGCCCTTCTGATCTTTTCTTCCACTTCTGCAGAATTTCCTCTAGCAAATACTTCTTTCTCCTTGCTTGCCTCCGCCATGATATTTGAATAAGAGATGGCCAGAGGATAACACTTACCTTTTAAAAACTAAGCTAAAAAGAACCTAGAACCTTCAACTGAGCAGTTGTGAAAATTGCTAATGGTGCCAAGGCCAAGCAAAGAGTTTCAGAAAATGACTGAGAAGGAGCGATAACCCCCAGAATGCAAAATCAGGGGCATCATCATCTGGTGCTTGAACAAGGAGCTCCACTCTACAACTGGTTTTTTAGGACTTGTGAGGAACGCAGCAACGGAAATCCATCCACAAAGGATGCAGTGCCCCAACTTGTACTGCGCCTGAATAGTCATGTGATAATTTACTGAAGAAATCTAGTGTACTTTAAATTTTTTTCATAAAAGTTTACATTGTATTGTAGGTTAACATTAAATGTTTTATAACAAAAATTTCATAACACGCTGTGGGTCTTTCTGTGTAGGACAGATGTGGTAGATAATTTTCTATGTCTGAAGGAGAGGTTGAAAAACACCGGAAAGGAACAGCATGGTGTGGCATTGCCAAGGAAGGGAGAGTCAAAGAGAAGGATGGAGTTAGGTCTTTTCTGTTGTATCCCTGTGGAAAAATAGCAACTTAGTATGATGGAGAGAGAGCAGACAGGCCTGGGTTCAGATTTGGGCTCTGGTTTCTCAGGTTTGCAACCTCGGGCAATTTCTGTAGCTTCCCTGAACTTGAATTTCCCCAACTATAAATGAAGATAATGCCATTCACCTCAGAATAGGTTTATAGATTCAATCAAGTAAATGTATATGAGGCTCTTGATACAAAGATGTCATTAAGTGTTTCTTCCCCTTCTATGGGAGTGTATTTTGTATTTTCTTGCAGTAACTTACTTTCTTAAGGAATTTGTCACTTCTGTTGGAACCAACTTGTGTCCTTGCAAAGCAGTGGCTAGAAGAAGCCTCTTCTGGCGGTGTGCGGTGGCTCAAGCCTGTAATCCCAGCACTTTGGGAGGCCGAGACGGGCAGATCACGAGGTCAGGAGATCGAGACCATCCTGGCTAACACGGTGAAACCCCGTCTCTACTAAAAAAATACAAAAAACTAGCCGGGCGAGGTGGCGGGCGCCTGTAGTCCCAGCTACTCGGAGGCTGAGGCGGGAGAATGGCGTGAACCCGGGAGGCGGAGCTTGCAGTGAGCTGAGATGCGGCCGCTGCACTCCAGCCTGGGGGACAGAGCGAGACTCCGTCTCAAAAAAAAAGAAAAAAAGCCTCTTCTTATCTTACAGATTCTGGATGATTGGCATTCTCCTAGGTACTTTTGCTCATGTTTTTATTTTTTATTTATTTTTTGAGACGGAGTCTTGCTCTGTCGCCCAGGCTGGAGTGCAGTGTCACGATCTCGGCTCACTGCAAGCTCCACCTCCCGGGTTCACGCCACTCTCCTGCCTCAGCCTCCCGAATAGCTGGGACCACAGGCGTCCGCCACCACCCCCGGCTAATTTTTTGTATTTTTAGTAGAGACGAGGTTTCACCGTGTTAGCCAGGATGGTCTCGATCTCCTGACCTCGTGATCCGCCCGCTTCGGCCTCCCAAAGTGCTGGGATTACCTGCGTAAACCACCGCGCCCGGCCACTTTTTTTTTTTTAATAGAGTCTGGCTCTGTTGCCCAGGCTGGAGTGCAGTGGCATGGTCTCAGCTCACTGCAACCTCCGCCTCCCGGTTTCAAGCGATTCTCCTGCCTCAGGTTCCCGACTAGCTGGGATTACAGGCACGCGACACCACTCCTGGCTAATTTTTGTATTTTTAGTAGAGATGGGGTTTCACCATGTTGGCCAGGCTAGTCTCGAACTGCTGACTTCGTGATCCGCCCGCCTCAGGTTCCCAAAGTGCTGGAATTACAGGCATAAGCCACTGCACCCAGCCTCATGTTTTCATTTCTGAGAGGGAATTTAAGCCTCAGTTCTCTGCCTTTCTCCTGTGCAGATACTCACTTTTGTGGATACAGATTCTTGGTACCTTCAGAGTTGTCCCCCTGTTCCTAGCCAAAGATTTGGGACCCTCATTTTTTTAATGTGCATTAAGTGTAAACTAGAATTCTATTGCTCAGTTTAATAAGTGTGCAAGAGTTTATTTACATAAGGTGAGAAGCCACTAAAACATTTCACAATTGATTTTGAAACTTAAAATCAATTGTGGTGGTTAACGACTGTAATCCTAGCACTTTGGGAGGCTGAGGCGGGCAGATCACCTGAGGTCAGGAGTTCCAGACCAGCCTAGCCAACATGGTGAAACCCTATCTCCACTAAAAAATAAAAAAAATTACCCGGGCGTGGTGACACATGCCTGTAGTCCCAGCTACTCAAGAGGCAATCGCTTGAACCCAGGAGGCAGAGGTT